TTTGTGGGAGTGGCTTGCCGGCCATGTGACTGAGTGGGAGTGGCTTGCCAGCCATGTGACTGGGTGGGCATGCTCAACTTGTAAAATGTGGTAAAACTCACTTAACAACGCTCTTGCTTAGCAACCAAAATGTTGGCTCAGAAACTCTGGCATTGAAGTGTGCAAGTCTTAAAGCTGTCAAGTTACAAGACCCTTGCACCCCTAACCCTTTAGGAAAAAAACCCCAGGGGTGTTCAAATTTGACAGCTTTAAGACTTGTGGACTTCAACTCCCAGAATTCCTCCTCTCGCTCTTTATCTTGATGATGTGCAGATGGGCGAGGGGAGGGAGCTGAAACCGGTTCTAAAGGGCACTGTAGATTTGTGGAACCTCTTCTATAGAAGAGGTTAGAACTGGCAGGAACCCACCTCTGGCGTACACCTCTACCTCCTCTTTTCTCAGACCACCCTGTACTTGCAAACACATGTATCCTGCAAAAGGGAGACCTTTTAATGGCCTCCCTGGGATCACATGCACCACATCTCCTCCTTCCTTAGCTTCCCTGCACTCATGTACACACATGCCCTGCACCCTCTTTCTTTGGTCTCTTTGCATCCCACACTCTCATTCCCTGACTTTCTGATCTCGCACTGTACCAAGTTCCCCTTTCCCAACTTGTGCATGACCTATGCCGGGCTTTCCAGGAATTCCTATGGCACCTCGGCATGTCTTACCTAGTACCCTTTTCATGTTTCACTTAATGACCTGCACATCTTGGATTACTCAGATTGCGATCACAAAGTAATACGCATGGAGATTCTCAGTCCTCCAGGTCATGGTTGTCTCAAAGGTTACTTTTTCAAGAGACAACTGGACTTTCTGGTATTTCTTTGAAGAAGTTTCAATTCTTATCCAAGAAGCAGAGTTGAAGAAGTTTCTTGGATGAGAAGCGAAATGTCTTCAAAGAAAAACCAGAAAGTCCAGTTGCCTCTTGAAAAAGCACCTTTGGGACTAAGCAATGTGGTTATATAATATCATGCTTTCCAAGGACATCCCTTAGCAACAAGAATCCCAGTCCTGTTTGTAATCATTCCTCCAATAGTGCCTGTATATCTATGCATACTTATATAGCTTTCATTTGACTGAATATGACAGGTAAGATTTGTTCCCCGTTTCTGCTTCCCAAAAGGGGCCATCATGGACGATGTTAATGGGTGCAGACTTCTTTGCTCAAAGCGTGTTTGAAATGTAACACCACACTGATGTCCGTTACGAAGCTCTCTAACCCTAATGTTGAATTTGATTAGTATTTGTAATAATTTCCATGGCGTCACTGCATTCTGTGTTGAGTTCCTATGTGCTGCAGTTTTGATTGTCACAGGTTTTCCTTTTGTGATTATAGAGAACAAGCGCTTTTGAATGCTCGCACGATGCCAGTTTTAGGCAGACAGCGAGACATGGAATTTGACAAAATTCATTATCCTCATGTTTATGACTCACAAGCCGAAGCTAGGAAAACATCAGCTTTTATTGGTGGATCAAAGGTATGCCTTTAAAGTTTCCTTCTGAGTAATGAATTTAAGTGAGCTTTCTTAGAATAGTTTAAGATGGTATTTTCTTACTCTAAAGGGGTAATGTTTGTTCCTACAGTTTATCTCCCGCCCCTTGATAGGTGCCTGCATATTTTCTTATGTTGAAAAATGTCAATTAATTGGCTCTAGAGAAATCTTAAAGAATCCATTCCCATTAGTTCCATGAAATGGTTTGGGGGCTTGGGTGACTTTTGCTATATTCAGCTGTTTTTTCCTTGAAATATTGAAATGCTTTTATTGGCAAGAACACATATTAGTGGACCACCCAAGGGGTGAAAGATGTTACTTCAACTTATAAATTAGATCTGCTTTTGAATAGAACTATATTGTTCCTAATGTCTCCCAAGTTACAGAAAGTTAGGTATTCTCAGCTGGAATGATGGAAAAATGAACATATTCATTTGTTACAAATCTCTGGGCCATAGATTGAGAATTTCATGTTGTATATTAATTTGGGATCTAAAGAAGTCATAACCAGATGGTAAAGCAAGCCAGAATTCCTGATTATTTCATTGTCATTAGAACATAGGGGAACATATTCAAACTGTCCAACATTTACCACATTTTTCTTTCGCTTTCTTCTGCGTGATTCTTATCTTAACCCTTCACATTTGCTTTAATCATGCTGTAATATCTATCTGTGTTATAATGCTGCTTATAATTAGCTGAATTCAGTTTTGAAGCTAGTTTGCAAACTTCGTTTTACTCATTGGTGCAGATGTTTCTTAATTATTAAGTTATACGAACAACAAGAAAAAATATATTCAATAAAAGGAGAGAGACAAGAAAATAGAGAGATCCATTTTATCCAAAAGCTTTGTAGAAGTATTCTTACACTTTGCCAGTCCTTCTGGTCCTTTTTATTTAAATAAGCTTGCAGCCATATAGTTCAAATTATTGGTTGACCAACTGAAAGATGCCCTCTCTGTCCATGTAGTCAAGTACTTTTGTTGTTGAAGTAAACAGCAAAAAGCATGCAGCCTTATTTTTATCAAAATATATTTCATTGAATAACCTAATACAGATTTCTGCAGCTAGTGTTCCTCCAGATGTGTTAGGACTACTAAGTCTTGAAATTCCCTGCTGTCATGCCCTTTCTGGGAGTTACAGTCTCTGTCTTACATAGAGGACAGCTAGTCTTAAAAGGGATCTATAATCTACAATGATATGTTAAAACTGTGTGCAATAGAAAGGGAACCATATGTTTTTTTCTCCCCCTGCAAACAAGCTCATTATTTCTTGGCTGCTTGCCATGATTGTTACCACTCCTGAGCAGATAGTGGAAAGACAATCTTAAATAGTCAAATTTACAAGCAGAAACTTGGCTCTACTTTCAGTAAGTGGAAGATCTAAATGACATATAATCAGATTATTGTATTCCAAAACAATTTTCTGATTTCTCTTTTTAAAAAAACAACAACAATAATTTTTACAGTCACTACAGAATTGGAAACATATCTAACACACCTTTAATAACTTCAATAGAATTCAATAGAATTTTTAGAGACCTTTGCTTGTTTTAGAGTATGTTTAAACTGCCACTTCGTTTGCTAACTGTTTAGTTAGCTGTAGTTTGATGTTGCTATCTGAGAAGAAATTGTTCTATGTCCAATTCATTACTTTAAACTGTTTTTCTTCCCCCTTCGCTTTCTTCTTTTTAATTTTTACAGATGCTTTTGCCAGAAGCTATTGAGAGAGAAAATAATAAAATGTATGAAGAAGTAAAAATACCTCCTAGTGAACAAATGCCAATGGGTTTAGTGGAAAAGCCAGTTTATATAAAGGATTTAGATGAGGTAAGGAGACATTCTTAATTTCTGTTCTGACCCATTTTTAGAAGCTTCAGCCTTTTATTGTTCTACAATATAAATATTGGAACAATATTATGTAGGTAAAGTAAAATTACTCTTATTATTCTTCATATTATTTGAATAATGAATGATTATTTAATAATATATACATTTTTTAAATTTAAATATTTTTTAAAAATCATAAAAAAAATATAAATCAATTAGAAACAAGATATGTTGGATATGTTGTATCATATCCAAGATGGCAAATATAGGATGAAAATAAACAAATGGTTTGTAAGCCAAAAGTGACACCACTGAGACTGTAAGCTACTATATATACAAGTAATCCTCAACTTACGACCACAATTGATTCTGAAATTTAGTTTGTTAAGTGAGAAATTGGTTAAGTGACTCCCCCCCCCTACCATTTTACAACTTCTCTTGCCACATTTGTTAAGTGAATCACTGCAGTTGTTAAATTAATAACGTTGTTAAATTAATCTGGCTTCCCCATTGACTTTGCTTGTCAGAAGATTGCAAAAGGTGATCACATGACTCCTGGACATTGCAACTGTCATAAATGCAAATCAGTTGTCAAGCATCCAAATGTAAATCATGTGACCATGGGGGTGCTACAACAGTTGTGTGAAAAATGGTCACACAACTTCCATCCGTCCTAGTATCATCGTGGTCAAATAACGGAATAACAGAGTTGGAAGAGACCTTAGTCTAACCTCCTACCCAAGCAGGAAACCCTATACTATTCCAGACAAAGTGATCACAATCTGAGAGCTTGGCAATTGACTCGCATTTGTGATAATTGCAGCATGATGGTGGACACATGATCACCATTTGCAGCCAGTTTTCCCCAAGCAAAATCAATGAGGAAGTCAGCAGGGAAAGTCACAAGTCACTGTACTCAGTTGCTTCACCCTCCCCTCCGGCAACAGTCTTCCCCAACCAGAGGTGCTCGCACCTCACAGCCCCCCGCACAACCTCCTCCCTCTGACAGCAGCCATTTACCTACATGCCACCTTACAGCTCACATGTTAATTGCTTAACAACACAAAATCTCTGCTTAATGATGGTAATAGGCACTAGGGAATTGTTGTCACTAAGAGATGCTGTCATGTAATGTTATGCATCATTGCTGCATCACTCAGTGATGGAAATCTCAGCAGTCCCTGTTGTTTTTTAAAATATTTATATTTATTTGGAAAATAAAATGTCCTAGGAAGAAATATATATGCTAATTTTTTGAAACCTTGTTTTCTTGGATCACACAGCCTTAAAAATATTCAAAATGCTTTTGTGGTGCTTTCAAGATTTGTGTGTGTGTGTTTGTTTGTGTGTGTGTGTGTGTGTGTGTATGTTTGTGTATATGTATATGTGTGTGTATATATATATGTATATGTATATGTGTGTGTATATGTATATGTGTATGTATGCATGTATGTGTATGTATGTGTGTATGTATGTATGTGTATATGAATATATATATTCATTCAACAGTTGCACTGTAAACTGACATTAAAATAATACATCTTGGATCCCATTTTCTTACCTAATAGAGTTGTCAGATGTTTTCCAAATTTGATGCTAGATAATACCAGACAGGACTGTGGGGAATAATATACCCAGATTCTAATTTTAGCTATTTTCTATTGGAAGAGGTCTTTAAAAATATTAACCTAACATTAGACTATTTTAAATGTGAGGGCAATACTTTTTATAACTAATGCTAAGGATACTTTTTTCAGCTTGATGTTTCAGATGAGTGGTTCTACAACTCTCATCATACCCTAGAAGTATATTGTTGTCTTTGGATAGCATGCATTCTACCTATGGGTAGCTTTATATATTTATCCTATGAATAAATAACACACATTTCTTTTATCCCATTTATAGTGCTTATTCAGCAATATGTGCAGGAAAGATTCATGGATTAGAACATGATTGCATAAATAATCTCAGTATAAGAAAAAAAATGCATGAAATATATATTTAGGAACAAAATTATATAAATATCCTATCAAATAAACATTCAGTATAGGCAGAGGAAGCATAATTTCTATCAATATATTATTTTTAATGTTCTAAATACAATCAGTGGAAGAAAGAAAGGTGTAATGGTGTATTTGTCATAACGTATTCACAGCTTTCTCAAGTTGCAATTTTGTTGAGGACAGTGTTAACATAAACTACTGGTACTTTCAAAATAGATTTTAAAAAAGTACTTTCTGTATCTGACACAAATCTATTGTTTTAACTTCTGGATCTGCCAATAGCTAAATTCTCATAACCCACAGTGACAAGATGTTTAAAAACATGGTTTACTGAATAAGCCATTGTGGTCTGGCTTTTATGGAATACTACATCATAATGGATATATTTGCATATCATATTAATCCAAAAGCCAACAAATCTTCTGGAACATTGCGGTTGAGCAATGTGATCTGCTAAATGACTCCTAATTATGTGCATATTAGAGCAGAGTAGTGGAGAAGATAGTGCAGGTTCTTAAGGCAGTACACCTTACAGTAGCCATCTGCCACTAATGAATATAGGAATTATATGGGGGCAGGGGGTGTCTCTTGAGCAAATCTAGTGTAGAAAATAAGAAATATGAGTTTTGGTGACTATAGAGAATTTCCTTGTGCATTTTATTTTAAGAAAAGCATCAATTATATAGACTTTAAATAAACCAGTTAAGTGGGCCTTGCTGATAGAATCTGGGGGCTGGAAATCATCTACATTGATTTTAGCCATGATATTAATTACCAAGCAGAAAGCCCCAATTTAAATTATTGATTTTAACCAATCCTTTTATCTGTATGTCGGTTAGACACAAAAGGTACACTCTGTGATTTATTCAGCTGAGTAAGACTCTTCTTCCCCTGTTGATATAATAGCACCACACACACAAAAGATATAACTAAGCCTTTATTTAGAATCTTTTCATTACATCAGGTATTGTGGTTCATCAGTTTATAAAACACGTGTAAGAATAGTAAATATAGAACCTCTCATATACCTTTGGAATTTCTTGTTTCAGTGAAGGTGCTTTAATCATTGTCCTAATCTAAGATTTTGTGGTGGCTCTGGATATTACGAGAGGATTTGACCCCAAAGGTGTTCTGATCATTCTTATTGTGTCAATCTCCTTGTTATAACCCAGAGCAGGCCTCTAGAGAGTTCTTTATTTCTCCTAACAAATGTTTCAGCCAAAGGCCTTTCAACAACCGATAAGACTCCACCCCCACACTACTCACTCTCAGACTCCCAAACCCAGCCCTGGTAGTACAAAGAAAGCCCAAAGAGTAGGAGTATGCTCACAGGCCAAGGTCTACATTTCCAAGTCCAATCCACCAAGCATAATCCAGGCACAATACAAAGGCACTCCTCAGGACAAAAAACAAGTCACAAAAAAGAAGCAGTTCCAAAGCTCCAGTGGAGCAGAGGCCAAATGCAGTCCATAAGAGAAGGGGCTAGGTCCAAACCAAAATATGAAAACAATCTTCCAAGCAAGGCAAACAGCAAACAGGCACAAGTCAAAGTGGGTATAAACCAAAATAAACAATTGTTCCTGGCAAAGACTAACTCCCAAGGCTTCTCCTTAAGTTACTCCCCTCCAGATGTTCCTTGTGAGGAGCGGTGGGACAACCTTCTCCCGAGTAGCCTTACAGCCCTTCTCTGGACTTTCTGTGCTCCACTCTTCTTGTCCTTGGATCGAGTGGAGTAGACAGTTGTTACTCATCAGAGGAAATTGGCTGCCTTTCAGCACCACAGTCAGCAGCCAATCCTCCTCTTCATCTGTACAGATAGGCAGCTCTCCGTCTGGTCAACCACCTCTGTTAGGGAAATACTTTAAGAGCTGACCAGCTGCTATAATGATATAAGGCAAGGAATGAGTCAGCAAGGATTGGGACTAGTATGACTTTAAAAGGCTGTTTATATAACAAATGCCCTATGAGGGCGTCCCTCTCTCCATGTGTACTTCCGTTCTATAGTTGGTGATTGTTTACCTGACTTTGCCTAGTACGTGCATGTATATATTCTTTGTAGATAAACTACTATTTGAAAGACAAACCTCTGTTTACTATATTTTGCTCCTGGGTTGTCTCAAAATAGTCACATTGTGCGCACTCTTGGCAACCTCTCCCAATGCCTGAAGGTCCCAGAACAGGGTAGTACTTAGCTCCTAGTGTACCTTCCCTGTCAGACAGCCCCAGTTCCAACTCCTCCTCCAACCCAGTTTTGAGGGGGCCATGACACTCCTACATATCATTCTTTTCTACATGTCTTTCAATTTATACTTTATACTAGTTAAAGTAGTCATTTTATACTAATTAAGCTATTCACTGCATGTCTATGGATAAGATATACATGCTGTGTATATAGAATCTATGCAAAAAAAGCCCCTGCGTCTTCTGTATATTGTTTTAGGTTAGATTTCATTTTTTTTTTGTAGAAAATGCTAATTAAAACGGGGGCATTTTCAGTTCCAATAAGTTGCATAAGCACTATATACATGTGGGGAAATTATTTTGTTATTGTGCAAGGGACTAGCCCCTACCCATAGAAAGGGTACAAATGTATGTTATGCCACAGTTGAACAATAGTTTACAGAACAACCTAGAGTAAGCTACGTTCACACAACCTAACTAACTTATTTAAAGGGGTTATATTGGTAGCCGTTATGAAGAACTATGAATGATATCTATATGATACTGTCTTTGCAAATGTATTTTGATAAATTTCCTGGAATTTAAAAGGTGAATACTTTGTTTTCATTCATTTGAAAAAGAATGGCTGTATCTTGTGAAATTAAGTTCATGATTTCTAAATGCTCGTGTTATGTAATTTCTACTTTAGGAAATTTAGACTGTCTTTTTCCATATAATTACAAAGTAACAACTAAAATTTGAATACTGTTATTAACTAGAGTTAAACCTTTGTGACAAAATGGCATACATAGCGAAAGTTACAAAAGCAGATAATTA